CTTGTCAACGCAACACAAAACCCGTTGCGCAGATTTTATATGTCCGATATCGCCAGGTAGGTATTCGGTAAAAGATTCAGAAAGATATTTTGGTAACATAAATAATACTGGTCACCTTTACGCTATCGCCGAACTTTTGATTTTATACCCGTCACGGTTATGAGATGGATGAACTTTAGCAGCATAAGCGACTAACCTCAATCACAATATCTCCTACTAAATACGTTTTATGATGATTTTTTGAAGTGTCAGTAATAATGTTTAATTTACATGTCATTAAAAATACGAAATGTTTGGTTTTTAATTGAAGTAAAGCCTATATAACAAACATAAAGATACTTGGAACTGATTGAACTACGGAAGAAACTCTACTAGTGAGCTCAAAACAATTTCCAACAACATCAGTGCCATTGAATTTAACATATTTTTCTCGAATATTGCCGATAATATCATTAAATCTCTACCTACCTGCAACATCTCCACTCTCGATTATATTTCTAGCCTCCCAAAACCAGTTAATTCATTTTTTCTACTACCATTTGATCATGAAGAAGTAACACCTGCGATTCGAAAACTCAAGAACACCCCCAGCTTTGACATAATTCATTTGAATAGTCAAATCATCAAAGAAACCATTGATTTTCTTGTTGAACCTTTGACACAATTAATGAATCGCTCCTTCACGGAAGGTATCTTTCCCGATCTATTTAAAATAAGTAGTACCGCCTATCTTTAAAAAAGGTGATCTAATATACCAAACAACTATAGACCTACCTCGATTATACCCATTTTAGGAAAAACCCAGAAATTGAGAGCCTCTCCAATTATTTAAACAAATATAATATTCTTCATGGCCATCAATTTGGCTTCATCAAGAATAGGTCTACAATAGACGCAGTGAGAAAGGTAATACAAAAAGTTATCGAACATGTGGAGAGTGGTGAACTCACCTCGCTAATATTGTGGGATTTGAGTAAAGCCTTCGACTGTGTCAACCACAATATCCTTATCAGTAAACTTGAAATTTTTGGAATAAGAGGTACTGACTTAAACTTATTTAATTCATACTTAACCAGAAGGAAACAAGCCGTCTGCACAAACGGGAAATTATCTGTAGGGAAAGTAGTTTTTCATGGCATACCTCAGGGGTCAATCCTTGGACCTATACTTTTTGTAGTATATGTGAATGATATTTTTCAAAGCCTACTACCTAGCACAATCATCTGTTTTGCAGATGATACAACAATGATTCACTCTAACTCCGACATGACAAGATCAATGAAATTGAAGAAAAGGCTGTAAACTGGTTTACGTCCAATAATTTGAAATCAAATAGGGGAAAAACTCAACAAATAGTTATATCTTCAAATAATAGGGTAATCACACAGAAGCACGTAAAATCATTTGGTGTAATCATTGATGACTCACTTAAATGGGAAAATCATATTGACTTTCTTTGCAAAAAATTGTCAACTCAGCTCTACCTTCTTCGCCTGCTGAGAAGATTTATAAGTACCAATACATTACTAACTGCGTATCACTCACTATTTCACTCCCATTCAATGTATGTAACTCTCTTATGGGGAACATTCTCTCATGCTCAAAATTTTTTTCCGTGTGCAAAGAAAAGCACTTAAAATAATAGCTGGAGCTCCATTCAACGAACCATGTCAACCTCTCTTCATCTTTTACAAAATTCTGCCTTTGCCTTGTATATCTATTTTAAACATTTCGTTAGATATCCATAAAAAGAAAGGTATATTCTCCACCCAATCAGTCTATCATAATTATCCCACTAGAAATGCAGATAAACTTAGACAACCGCTGAATAAACTAGAAATGTCTATACGAAATTCACCGGACCTCAAGTTGTACAACCATTTACCAGTTGACCTCACTCAGCTCAGTACTCCATCAGGAGGAGGAGAGAGAGAGTTAAAACATTCCTTTTAAAAAACTGTTTTACTCAACACAGAATTATATGAATAGTATTTACAGTTACTTAATATTACATATCACATAGCAACTATATATGTTGCTATGTGATGTTCTGTAGCACCAATATTTTATTCTACCTAGCAGTTTTATTTCAAATGATCAATAATAATTGAATATTATCTTTTAATTTTGTACTCAGTACAGCGTGCATCTGCACTCTTTTTGACCTGTCATAAATGTATTTATTGTATGCATAACATGATTAAATAAATTATGTCTGTCTGTCTATATTAATATATGAGTTTGAAAATGTCCTTATAGGACGAAACTGCAATAACGTTAGTTAAAAATAAAACTGGTAAAAATCATAGAAAGTTTCAATTCTCTTTTCTTCATTATCATCTCCTACCACATAGTAACGGCTACATCCATCAATTTATTGGGAGATTACGTTAGATTTAATGCAGTGGCGAATAGCGTTGAGAGAAGAATAATTGATATCGCAGTAATAACAAACTTGTATCAACATTTTTACAGCAAATTGTAACAGTGCGAATACAATGCTTTTTCTTGTAGAATCTAAGTAGAACGTCATTTCATATCTAGTGTTATGGCAAAGAACATGAAGAGGGATTTTTGAGCTCTTCAAAATCATAATTTTTCTGACACTTACAAGAAGATTTCGTAAATTCATTCTGAATTATGTACGTTAGAGAAAAATAACGTATCTAAACTGTCTCTGCAGTGTACGAATTAGCTGGAAGAACCATTTCTTCAGAATGATATTCCACACAGGTCTCTTCAACCACGCACAGTGTACGTGCCTCAAGGATTCTTCTGAAGTTGGTTCTGCATTTTAAAATGTTCATTCAGCTGCCGCATTAAATTAAACAACCAATGTCGAATGAAATGTGGTCAGAGCCTTTTAGGAAGTCCAAAAGACAAAGTTGAGATTTCGAAAATGTCCGTAACTTACGAAATTTTATGTTAGGACAGTGATGCAAAATATAATGGACAGACAAAGAGATCTATTAAAATAATATATAAGGAACGCTTAGCACACTTAATTGAAAATCAGCAGTCGCCCACCATATTTTGCAACAAAACCATTCCATAGACGTTTCATTAAGATTAGTTAGACAAGTTAACAACAACGGGTATCTAGATGCCTATGAGATGCCCATAAGGACACATTGTAAAATTAATTTGAGGCTAATAGACAAGGCAATATTGTAAAATTAATTTTATATAGCTTGTTGAAATAATTATTAGATTCACCTGACTAATACATAAGGACATATTGTAAAATTAATTTAAGACTAGTAAATAAGGTATGTGGCTTGTGGAGGTGTTATTGAACTATAATTTACATTTTGCCTCAATTGTTGATTTATAAAGATGAGTTTCCTTTTTTAAAGTAGAATATCTAGGTACATATAAATTATTTCAACTTGATATAGGCGCTGTTGCCAATATGTGAATTAGGAACAAATCCCTTCAAAAATAAAAATCCAACATTTGAAATATCGATTTGAATACTTTTTGAAGTGAATTTGTAGAACTCATGAATTAAACTAAACTTTATTTTGTTCAAACTTGCATTTGCTGTAATAACCCAAATTGAGAAACATTCCCCATAGAAAAATTTTTTCATTTGAAGTGTAGCTGAAACTATTACCGCTCAGTCGTATATATCAGTTGTTTCAAAACTATTGTCCGTTTCTATGTCATGTGTTTTTGTAACCCCACATCTTAATGAAGCATTTACGACAACATGAGACGTTTAGGACTGTAGTCAGTTAACGATGAGCCACCCAGACACTTCCCGAAGACGAGAACCCACCAAAAAAAGACCATGGCTACTGTATGGTGGTCAGCGGCTGGTGTGATTCACCATAACTTCCTGCAACAGAGCCAAACCATCTCACCATCAATGAAATGCACCGAAAATTGCGTCAGCAGCTGCCTCCACTAGTCAACAGGAGAGGTCCTATCCTGCTCCACGACAACGCCCGTCCGCACATTTCACACAACACCTTCCAAAAATCAAACCAATTAAACGTCGAAGTTCGGCCTCGCCTACCATACTACTCAGACCTCTTGCCAACCGACTACCATTTTTTGAAGCACCCCAAATGAGGCTCATTTCGATCAAATTGGATACTTAAGTATTACTCTGAGACGCTTGCGCATAGTGCTCTCGCGCTCATGTTCTCGGCTGAATAATTTTTGTGTTTAGGGTATGTTTGGTCACTACAATTTGTCTTACTCTGTAGTAGTTACCTTGATAACATTTTCAAGACTGAGAGTTTAGGATCCTCAAAAAGCAAATACGCCACTGGAATCAATGAAGTCGTCCCGGAGCGCCAATAAATTTTTGTTGTTGTTTTATAATTTCATGATATGTATTTTGGAAGTGTTAATATTCTACAATACATATGTAAATATTAACCATATAAATTAAAGTTAGGTAACTCTTATTTTCAGTTACCTGTCTTCCTAGTACCTGCCAAGGTGACACAAGGCGAGCTCCACAAGTACGCAGGTATTCAAAGAACAGAGACACTACCGAGAACCTAATGTTTCATCTATGTGAAAATAAGTTATGTCTGATCGCTCTGGGATTTTGGACTAGAAGTATATAAATCACAGAATGCATATTTGAAACGACTGTCTCACAATGTCACTTCCAGTCGAGGCACTCCTCGACATAAAGACCCAAAAACTTCACACATGTTACCTTGTCAATTTGATGATTGCCAATTTTGATGTATATATTAGCTACCTATTTTTGTTTATTATGAAAAGGTACTGCATGTGTTTTTCCTGCGTTGACATAAAAAGAATTCCTGCAGAAGCAACGTGCAGAATATATTATTAGATTGTGTTTCTCAAGCTGCATATGCTTTGTTAGATATCAGCATAGAAATGTCATCTGCATAAATTGTGAAGTGTACTGATAAAGTTATAGATGTTATGTTATTTATATATAGCAAAAATAAGACGAGCCCCAAAATAGATCATTGTGGGACATCCATAGTGATAGAAAGAGGTGAAACTGGTTGATCGATAACATTTGAATATAATTTATTCTTAAATACATAAATAAAATATTTTTCACAAAAACCTACTACTACCAATTGCAATCAAAGGAACAGTTTTCAATTAGAAATATTCTGATCACCGCGACTTTTGCCGCATGTGAGCATTCGTACCAATAATATCCATAACCTGCGAAAAATATTCTTCCTCTTTTCTACCACCACTCTTTCTGCCACGTGCTCCCGAGGAAAGTACAGAACGGCTACTGTATCTTCGCCAACATTTCTCTGCGGGGAAATGATGTAGGTGCTTTCTAATTCTTCTTCAAAATAGCTGATGGCAGATGGATCGTAGAGAAAATTCTCATTCTGATACAGAAAACTAATTTCACTCTGCTGGCAATTGCTTGTTAAGACTCGTAGAATCCTATCCTGTGAAGTAAACTTACTGATTTATCTGTTGTGGATCTGTAGAACCCTTCATTGAATCAAACAGGAATAGTTGAACAATTTATTTTTAATTCTCGTATACAAAAACTAATTCTTCAGAGATCATTTCTTTTCGGGACTGTAAAACTCTACAATTCTTTGCCTGAGCAATTTAAAAGATTCAGTACTAGAGATATCGATAGTCATTACAGTCATTAATGTCAACTTCAATAATTGAATGGAACTGGCCGATACTTGATGAAAATCCATGTTAAATGAATAATTAATACAGTTTATTGTATGATGTTCACTATGAAAGGTTTTACAAGAACCGCGACACGTGTTTCGCTATACAATAGCTTCCTCAAGCATAAATTTAAAGTCACTTCCAAATTACAACCATTTTATACTCTAACCTATTATCTACTTGTCTGCCTAAATAATGAATCTACCTGGAAAGGACAGGTATGAATTCATTAACTATATAAATAAATTTTTCGAAAGTATACCTAACTATTTTTACCTGCAAATGAACAGATTCAATAATGGCGAATTATTCAATTCAGTTTGATCGTTCATCAGATGTTGAGAGTTCATCATCAAGCAAATTGCGGTTAACAATGGGTTTGGAGCCGAATTAATAAACAAAATACTTGCCAAGAAAGTCTACGCAAAAGCGATTCGAGACATTTTTCCCATTGATTAGGTAGATAATCAAAATTATAGAGCTTCAACGTATTTTGGACAACCAACGGAAAAAGTGGCTTCATTTTTGAGGAAACGAGGTATTAAAATTGCATATAAAACAAGTATTGGGTTGGGAAGTTACTTTAAAATAATAAAGACAAAACATCCAAATTCGAGAAATCAGGAGTATATAATCAAAATGTGGAACGTGCCTTAAGGTATGTATTGGTCAAACTGGCAGAACATTTAGAAATCGAATCCAGGAACACCTTTCGAGCTATGTAAATAAGAACACAAATTCAACATATTCAAATCATCTTCTAGAAGAAAATCATATCTTCCACGAAGAGTTCGAAATTTTGCACATAGAAAATAAAGGTTTGAAACTGAATTGGAAGCAATGGAAATAAGTGAACTTAAAAATTCAAACATTCTAATGAATGACCAACTAGATTTGAATAGACCACCATTATTGAACTTGTTTTCTCAAAAATCAAGAAAGAATTATTATTGATGTAGATATGGGGTAATATGCTTCAGGTGATCATAATTGAACAGGTACCTTAGGTAGAGGTTTAGGTAATTTTTTGGAGGTAGTCTTCGATTATATATTAATGCAAAAACAACTTGAAGTATTCAAATCACTTGAGAAAGCTACTGTGTTAGCGAAACATGTTGTGATATATTTTTCCAATATAGTTTGTGGAGATCAAATCGTGAGGTGTAGTTTTTGAAAATATTAAATCGTCATCGACCAACTATACAATTAATTTTCACAAACTCTCATGAAAAGCATCCGAGGAACCTAATAGTTCACAATGATTCACGAGTAACGCCGAAACGTATTCAAAGAATTCAAAGATCGACGTTGAAAGAATGCAAAACCTTCATACTTGCAGGAACATCTCGTCAAAATGGGAGAAATCCGCATCACCAGGTTCCATTTTTTGATCCTTAATGTCCATATAGCCACGTTTGGGACATAAGTATGTATTTGTGGTACTTATTGATACATTTTTATGGTTTGGTTGAGGTAGTTCATTCATTTTATCCAACTTCTGACATGGCCCGATCATAAAATTTGTATATCTGGAAATGATTCTTATTCAGTCCTGAAAATTTTATTTTTGTAAAGTACTCACTTAAAATATTCAAACAGGACATTGCATCGCTTCTGACACTTATTTTGACACGTGAACTGTTATAGAATCAAAAAACTGTCATTTAACAATGGAGTAACAGCATTGAAAGTTTACCGGATGTCGGTCAAAATTAGTTACCTTGCCTTTTCCATGATTCATGAGTTTGGAGTCTTTTACATGCAACGTCTATTGGACGACTTCGAATGCTGGTACCTCGATTGGAAGATCCGAGTGAATCCAGATAAAACTTGGAGAGACATAACCCTTCTCCTGACACAGGGGTAACGATCTCAGGCAGTCCCGAGTCAAGTATTTGGGTCTCATGATGAGGCAGTTGGGGTGTTTTTCAATTTCGATTGCTTCCCGTCAGGGAAGCATATTGTCAACTTGCCAAGTTTTTATGTCAGTGTTGGTGGTTTGACCAATCAACCGACAACTGCGGTAGCAGAAATTTGGGAAGCTAACCTGAAATGCCATCATAAAACGAATCCACATGTTTCTAGAAATGATATGAAATCTAGGAAGGTTAATGCAGTCAAGCTGCTGGAAAATATTTCCATGAAAATCAAAAATTAATAAATAAGTACTCCTTGATCATTCCCATATCGATTTCAATTTAAGAGCCACCGGTATACAGCTGTTTCAGCCTATTGGGCATCGTCAGTACCGGGCAGGCGTTCCTCGATTGAAGACGAAATGAGAAAAAACCAAGAAAGTACTTGATAAAAATAGCTGCGTAAAGACAAGCGAAACATAAGTGGAACCAACTATTGGTGTGACATCCAAGTCAACTTGCCAAGTTTTTATGTCAGTGTTGGTGAATGGGAAACCATAGCCATGACAACTTCTTGTCGACATAAATTATCTCCATATTGAAAATAGGTTCTATCCATAAATAATCTTAAAATTTCCAATATAGAGATAACATCCATTTTCCTTCGATGTTGTTTTGAAGTTGAGTCAGTTTCCAACGTAGAGCCTACAATTTGAAGAGTCTTATCGACTGAAACATTGGTTAAAAGACTTTGAACATCAAAGCTCACCAGAACATCACCATCACCAAGTGCTAAATCTTCAAGTTCATTCATAAAATGGGTTGTATTTTGACGATTTTTTGAAGATACACCCTGTACATGTGTGGAGCATAACTTCAATTTGTCGTCCACACCGAGGGATTCGTACACAAGTAGTTTCATAACCTAATTAATCGTCACCGTTGAACAAATTCTATTTACAGTGGCTAACGGACCAAATTGACTCCTTTTAGGGCAATTGTATCGATGACAGAGTATTCACAATGCAAAGTGTCCTCCAGGGGTAGAATTTAAACGACCCCAAATATAAATAGGGTGAGTTCGGGTCGGGTCTAGTCTCCCTTAACTAGCGCTCATCCATCATACTGTTACCACTCCCCCACAACTGCCGCAAATTCGTCCAAATGTCCGCCACTGACTGCAAAGGCTCACAATAGTTAATACTAACTAATAGTTCGCCATATGACAACATCGCGCCGACTTGTACCAATAAATGCTACTGATAATTTCCTAATGTTGGTTATTAGTTCTCGGTTCTCTTCTGTTAATTTGGGGTTATTAGTGTTTCAGCGTGAACTGTATTTGATTTTAATTATTATTTGGGTTAGAATCCGAAGTATGGTTCATTAGGGTTTGGAATAGCTTTCATCTATCATTATTCTGTCAACATTTCCTTCTAAAAGTTATATCGGCTTATCTTTCAGTATTACTTTACCAAGAGCGCATTGGTGACTAACCCTTTCAGCAGTGTATAATTATTGAGTGACATCTGTCACTAGTATTCTTTTCCATAGTCTTGATAACTTCAATACTTCAGTAACTTTCACTCCAAAGTCGATGAAAAAAAAAATGAATTCACTAGATATCAATAAGGAAGTTGATCTTGATAGCTACCCCTCATTTTCTGTACGGAATTATGACCAGAGTCTTTGTTATCCATATCATATTCAACAAATCCATTAGGATGGAGGATTTTTCCAAACGTCTGGAAAATGTCTGTACTCTCGTTATATAAAGATGCTGTATTTGTTTTTATATCAAACGAGTTACAATCGAAATTATTGATTATTCATCGAATGATTCTTTATCGAAAAACTAATAATGAAATCTGTTACATATATGTTACATATTATGTGCTGTGGTACAGCACATAATATGTAACATAATATATAACATATATAACATAAATTCAATTTAAAATAAAATACAAATTATGAAATTATAAAACAACAAGAAAAATTANGTGTCAATTTTTTTGTCGGGTTCCAAATCACAAATCAATGGTTTGGATTGAAAGAATTTTGAAAATGGAATAATGAGAAAAATACTACTGTAAATTGAATACAATATAATACAAATGAAAAAATTATTAAATATTGCTTTCGAATTCCTCAAGAACTCATTCAGCATGCTTTTTCAATATGATGCTTTCAACTACCATGGTATGCAAAAAATAAAGACTTTGCCCTATAGATAAATGGATGAGAATAATAATGATATCTACTCTACCGATTACCACTTGTGATACTCCTCAAATAAACTTCTGTGTTTTATTTTGCGTCTTAAAGTAAAAACCAATTGTACACAAGGTATGATTCATGACCAATAACAACGCCTATCCAGAGAAGAATATACATATGCAAAATAAAAATATAGAACTGCTGTACCGAGAAATAATAATGTTTTCGTTTCCCTCAATTCCAGCGTGATGTACTATGATCAAAACCTTTAAAATTTCCGAAACGTGACAAATGACAAGTGACAAATGATAGATAACAAGTAGCACATAAACAAAGTAGCCAACTCACAAACAGTACATGTGCTTCAAATGAAATTCCTATTGTCCATTTGAACTATTTCAATTTTTTTAAATGAGTTCGGCAGAAGATGAGATCCAATATGGTGAGATTTGACTTTCAATCTCATTTTCATTCACCATCATCAGTTTAATTTTCTCTTCAAAAGTTTTTTTGATTGTTCAGAAGGTAAGGCTGGAAACGTGCAGCAAAATTAAAATTAATATTGAATTTTCATTAAGAAGAATTACGATAGTGCATGCAATACAGTTAGGTATTATTTGGCGCATGCGTATTAGCTTCAACACGTGATATCGCCAATGTCTGACAGCGCTTATCATTTGAAACATTGATGATTTTTGGTGGCAGCAACGATACAATGATGAACAACAAATTCAACATCGCTCAAATATGACTGTCTGACATGACACAAAAGAATGTGCCAAAGCAATATATTAACATTTTGGTGATGAATTTTCAGATATACATTTATTTCAAATACAAATACAAAATGCCTTTTTTCATTTTACATTATTGAAATAATTTTTATCAATATTTAGTATATTCAAAATACAAAATAGTTTTGTTACATTTTTCAGTTCATTTTTCTTATTTCACATTCCCAAATCCAAAATTACTTCATTTATGAACGCACTGATCGTGATCCTAAATGTTGTCATCATTGTCACCAAGAACAATAATGCCAACATTGTACGTCAAACAAATCTGGGTTTATTTCTGTGAGAGCTGTGTTCGTGTGTTGATTATTTCGTTTTCTGTGTGATTTTGCTCAGTTTTCTTCACTTGCTGGATGTGAATAACTAAAATATAAGTAATACATTACTTTTATAAGTTTTTTCAACTAAGCATCAAACAGTTGACCGTTAAAATATTTTTATTATAGTATTCTAACGTAAAATAAAATTATCGACAAGCGTTAGTTGGACAGGATATCGCATTGTTCGTCTCTATTTTATGTTATTGTACAAATCATGGATTTACGTTTTTTATTGGAAACCAAAATAAGGCGTTATCTTGTCTATATAAATGTTGCAGCTATATAGTGCTCAGTTTTCGCATTTGATGCAGACAAATCCCTGCCCCTTCTCATAAGTTACCACGCCGCAGCCTGGGTTCGCGCAGAATACCGCACAACTATTTGCAGAATCTAGTATCCATCTTGGATTGTTAGTTGATATCCGGACGTTAGGGTCCTGGACCAGGGCAATGTCTACTCCTTCTTCCTCCATAGTTTTTGCCAGCAATTTGTGTGCTGCGCCCCTTCTGTCCACATTGAGTTGTAATATTTTTACTAGTATCACTAGATGTTAGGAGACTCCTTTGCCGTCTCTTCCTGCATTTGTATTGTTGCCTTGTTCTCTATTATACCTAACAGAATAGAATGGGTTTCGATTACTGCTTCGGCTTCTGATCGATCAGGGGCTTCGAGAAAGAGTGCAGTTTTCCTGGATCTACTCCGGTCAGTCTCTAAGGAGAAAACTTCTTCTTACATGTTGGGAGCAGGAGCTTCATTCTGCTATCTGCTGTTTTGTTTGCAAGACATTATTGGGAAAAAATCCTCCTCATTAGGAACACTAGCCCTCCTCTTTGCTCTGAGGCTCATTTAGGCCTCTTCGAGCACCTCTCTGAATCGTGGGCAACTCGCATTGCCTACTGAATGTCCCGTCGCTTCGCACGAAGGACAGTATTCCTCTTCCACACATTTTTGGGCTTTATGGTCCCTCTTCCCGCACACTTAGCAGCTGTCTTTTCTGTCGGTCCCTTTACAACTGTCCTTTTTATGATTGTGGCTCTCGCATCTTGTGCATTTAAGGACTACCACGACACTACATTTGACGACGCCTACCCTCAATTCTTCCCTCCTTCTTTCCTCCTATACAAGGGCTTTGCCAGATCTCTAGGCAGTCACTGTTATGACCGTCGTATCATTTCTCAACGGTCTTATTTCATTCAGTTTACACCCACTGATCCAATGCTCAGTGACCCTACTGACTGCCTCCTGGACTGAGGTAAAAAGTATTTAGAGCCTTCTTTAACTTTAACAGAGCTCCGGGTCTTTTTACGTTGTGAGGAGGAGGTTTCTTTCTTTTGTCTTCCTGATTCATCTAGGTTATGGCATTTGCCGTTTCAGAGTTTCCTATGGCATTCGTAACCGATCGCAGAATGTCCCTAAAGGATTTTTCACCCTCGCTCGCTATGACCCCATAATT